CTCTATCTGTCTCTATCTGTCTCTGTCTCTGTCTCTGTCTCTTTCTGTCTCTGTCTCTCTCTCTCTGTCTCTATCTGTCTCTGTCTGTCTCTCTCTCTCTCTCTTTGTTTGTGTCTCCTCGTCTTTATATATTTCTGTTTATTTTTGTGCTTCGTCTTTGTCTGTCTTTTTGTTGTCTTTGTCTGTCTCTCTTTGTCTTTGTTTGTCTCTCTTTGTCTTTGTCTGTCTCTTCTCTGTCTCTTCTTTTGTCTGTTTTTGTGTCTCTTCTTCGCTGTCTCCTTTGCTCTCTTTCTGCTTCTCGTTCTCTCTTCTTTCTTTTTGTGTCTTCTTCTCTGTCTCTTTTTATCTGTCTCTGTCTCCTTCTATGTTTCTTATCTGTCTCTTCTTATCTGTCTCTTCTTATCTGTCTCTTCTTATCTGTCTCTTCTTATCTGTCTCTTTCTTTGCTGTTTGTTTTGTCTCTACTTGCAGTGTATAGACAACGAGGAGGCCTCAACGCCTCCCCACAGCAATACTTCACAAAGAAAACAAAAAAACAGAGACAGATAAACAAATAAAGAGACAGAAGACGCAACAACAAGAACAGCAGCAGCAGCAGCAGCTGCAGCAGCAGCAGCAGCAGCAGCAGTAGCAGTAGTATTAGTAGCAACACTTACCAGCCTCTGCCGGTGTAAATACACAAGATAAACAGCAGCATATAACTTTTAAATAAAATATTTTTATGAGGTGTATGTACACCTGAACTTCTTCTTAGGGGGCCCCCTTAGGGGGCCCCCTAAGAGGGGCCCCCATCATATATATGCTCTGTCTCTTTTCTTTACAAGTGCATTGTTGATTAAATAAAATAAATAAAATAAATAAAAGAATAAATAAATATATTTGTGAATCTGTTATTTGCAGTGTATACACCCTTTGTCTTCTTTTTGAGGGGGAGTCGAGGGGTGAGGCTACAGAGAATTTGTTTGTTATTACTCTGATAGTTAAATTGATTTATTAAAGAGAACAGCAGCAGCAGCAGCAGCAGCAGCAGCACAAGCTGCTGCTGCTGCTGCTACTGCTTTGGTTGCTGCTGCAACACTGCCGTTCTTCTTCAGTTGTCTTTATTTGCTGCTGCTGATTTGCTGCGAATCGAACGCGTGCGAGCGAAGGGCCTCAGCTGTAGCATATTGTCAGCAGCAGCAGCAATAACAACAACAGCAGCAGCAACAGCAAATACAACATCAGCAGCAACAACAACGACGAGAACCACAGAACCAGCAACATTAACATCAGCAGCAGCAACAACAAAGCCAGCAGCAGCAGCAACACCATCAGCAGCAACAACACAAGCAGCAGCAGCAACAACAACGCCAGCAGCAAAACAGCAGCAGCAGCAGCAGCAAAACAGCAGCAGCAGCAGCAGAAGATGGATGTTTGTTTGCAGCATTCTCTCGCTCGAACGAGACCCGAAGCCTTATCTCGGGTGTATGCCGATCCAAGGGGGAGGGCATTGAGGTGCTTTGCTGTTGCAAGCAGCGGTGCTGCTGCTGCTGTTTGTCTCTGTGCGTATCCTCGCTGGGCATTAGATACTGTCAGGACCCGCCTGCTGCTGCGCAGCAGCAGCAGCAGCAGCAGCAACAGCAACAGCAGCAGCAGCAGCAGCACCAGCAGCAGCAGCAGCAGCAGCCCCCAACAAACCCGCGGGATCGTCGTCCCCAGAGACGATCCCAGCACCCCACACCCCACAACGCCCCAAAATAACACACAGTCACCAACCTCAGCAGCAACAGCAGTAGCTGGTGCTGCTTCTGCTGCTGCAGCAGAGATACCACAAGCTGCTCCTGATGCTTCTTCAACGGCTACGCATGACAGCGCGCAGGACCGGATCTGCAGAGGCAGGTCTGCTGCTGCTGCTGCTGCTGCTGCTGTTAACCATAAGACGCTGAAGGCCGAAGGGAGACTGGTTGGAAGGCCGCCTCGAAAGAAGCGGTTCAAAAGTGTGGGGCTGACTGCTGCTGCTGATGGGGGACACTGTGCTGCAGCAGCAGCAGCAGCAGCAGCAGCAGCATGTGCAGCAGCTGATGCTGCTCTTCCTGCTGCGGATAAATCTCAAAAGGAGATGGAGACACATGAAGGAGACAGAAGCAAATCAGCAACAGACAATGTAAAGCACAAGATGCATGAGGAGCAGAGGGACACTACAGCAGCAGCAGCAGCAGCAGCAAAAGCAGCAAGAGCAGCAGCAGCAGCAGCAGAAGAAGCGACAGTGGCGACCGCAGCAGCGAGTGAAGAGGCACCGTTTAGGGGCCAGGATCAGCAGCAACAGCAGCAGCAGGAGCAGCAACAGCAGCAGCAGGAGCAGCAACAGCAGCAGCAGGAGCAGCAGCAGCAGCAGCAGCAGGCAGACAGCATCGTATTATTAGACACGCGTTATTTGCTGCCAATGTGGGAGTTGTGTCTTGGGGGGCCCTTTCCTGCTGCAGAGGGTCTCCCGATGCAGCCGATTCGTTGCTGCTGCTGCTGCTGCAACAAATGCTGCTTGGGCCTTTGCCGCCAGTGCGCGGGGGGCCCCACCGCAGCAGCAGCAGCAGCAGCAGCAGGGGGCGGTAGTAATTATCCCCCTTTCTGCTGCAGCTCTCTCTCCTTTGCATGCGACGACCGCTGCCTCGTCTTAGTCGATGCTGCAGGGGCGGTGGAGGTGCTGGCGCTGCAGCCTCTGGAAGAAGCAGCAGCAGCAGCAGCAGCCGAAGCACCAGCAGCAACAGCAGCAGCAGCAGCAGCAGGAAGGCACTGTATAGGGGGGGCTTACCCTCGTCGTTTATGCAGATTGCAATTCATCTCCTGCACAATATTAGGGGGCCCCTGCTGCTTGCTGGGTTGCCGTTTGCTGCGGATCTGCAGCATACAGACGCAGCAGCAGCACGAGCAGCAGCTGGCTTCTTGCTGGGTTGAAGACAACTGGGCGGGCCCCACCTGCTGCGCCCCCAATACGAACTCCTCACGCAGCAGCAGCAGCAGCAGCAGCAGCAATAGCAGCAGCAGCAGCAGCAGAAGCAGATTGTCGGAGGACTTTGTGCAGGAGACAGCAGGGGGCCCAGTGTTATTATATTCGTGCGAAGGGGAGGAGGATTTGTGGGATCGCGATCCCATCGATCCCGGGATCGTCTCCCCTTTTGTGGGGCCTTATTGCTTAGCAGAGTTCCTCGTACACCTCAGCGGGCTGCCGCCTTTTAGGCTGCTGATCGACATCACCAGCAGCAAAGTGCTGCGCTGCGTCTCCCTTTTGTCTCTTGGATTAACTCGCAGCTGTCTCTCCTTTGCTAATACGCAAACCCCACAAGCCACACGGGATGTCCTGCAGCAGCAGCAGCAGCAGCAACAAGAGCAGCAGCAACAAGAGCAGCAGGAAGAACAGCAGCAGCAGCAGCAGCACGAACAACAGCAGCAGCAAAGTGGTGGGGAGGATTGTTGCGGGCATGCGGAGTCTGTGCTGCACCAGGAGTCAGAGCAAGCACTGGAAAGCCAGCAGCAGCAGCAGCAGCAAGAACAACAGCAGCAGCAACAGGACGAACAGCAGCAGCAGCAGCAGCAACAGCAGGAGTCTGGAGTTCCTGGTTGCGGGCCAAGGAGACAGGCCCCTTCCAGGAAGGCGGAATCAAAACAAAAGGAGACACTTGGAGCGAAGAAGAGCAGCAGCAGCAACAGCAACAGCAGCAGCAGCAGCAGCACAAGGCTTCCCTCTCCGGCTATCGGTAGCGTAAAGCGGAGTGCGTATGCGCATGCAGCTTTCAAGTATTCACCTTGCAGCTCTTTGCTGCTGACGGATGGAGTGTATGTGCAGCGCTGCAGCAGAAGCACCGAGAACCCGTCTCCTGCTGCTGCTGCTGCTGCTGCAGTTGGTGAAGCAAAATCTGTGGGTCAGCTGCACCGCGATTTCCCCGTTGCAGTCTTCAGGCAGCAGATACAGCCGAACGGACAGCTGCCTCTTGTCTCTTTGCCACCGCTTCAGGCTCCAGACGGTGCAGCAGCAGCAGCAGCAGCAGAAGCAACAGCAGCAGCAGCAGAAGCAGCAGCAGCAGCAGCAGCAGCAGCAGAGTGTGAGTGCGGGCAGTGGTTCGTTGGTATCGCGCTGCCATGCGGGATGATCGTCGTGCTGGACCTTCACCATCGAATTCTTGCAAGGTAAAGCAGCTTCTGCTGCTGCTGCTGCTGCTGTTGTTGTTGCTGCTGCTGTTGTTGCTGGTGCTGCCGCCGTGGCTGCTGCTGCCGTTGCTGCTGCTGCTGCCGTGGCTGCTGCTGCTGCTGTTGCTGCTGCGAGTGCGTCAGCCACTGTGTGCGTTGTTGCAGCGGCAATGGGTTGTGCTGCTCCTAAAGCCCTCGCTGCTGCTGCTGCTACTGCTGCTGCTGCAGATATATAGTTGTTGTTGGATTTGTTTGCATGCATCAGGTACCGCTTCTCCTCCTCAAGAGCGGGCTTCTTCGATCACTTAGAGGTGCAGCAAGGCGGAGGTTTGCTGCTGGCTTGGCGAGAGAAGCTCTCCGTGCTGCTGTCTCTTACCCCCGCTAAAGCAACAGCAGCAGCAGCAGCAGCAGCAGCAGCAGCAGCGCCTGAACAAGCAACCTGGGGAGACACTGCAGCAGCAGCTTTCACTAACACGAGACGCAACCCTTTAAAACCCTTCTGGACATGCAGACAGATGGAGACAGCCAGCGACGATGAAGAGCAGCAGCAGCAGCAGCAGCATCAGCAGCAGCAAGAGGGAGAACAGCAGCAGCAGAAGCAAGACGAGGACGATCGCTGCACCCACGAAGAGGCTGGCGATAGCGATGAACTCCCAGGCAGCAGCAGCAGCAACAGCAACAGCAGCAGCAGCAGCAGCAACAGCAGCAGCAATAGCAGCAACAGCAACAACAACAGCAGCAACAGCAGCGGCGGGTCCAGCTCTGCTGCTAAGCGTCTTCTTTACTCTCGGGAGAAGAAAGGGCTGCACACCGCCAGAGAACTGCTCCAAGGTAACTGTAATAACACCTAGCTAGCTAGCCAAGTGGCTGGCTAGCTAGCTAGCCAGCTAGCTAGCTAGCCAGCGCATGACGCTAGCCGTCGACCCAACTGGACCCCTGGCTATCTGCCCTCCCACATATCTAACTAGCTAGCTGTCTACCTATCTAGCTGTCTAGCTAGCTAGCTAGCATGGGTTTATAGCTAGCTGTCTAGCTAGTCAGCATGGGCTAGATACAAGCTGGCGATGGCTGTCTAGCTATCTCCTCAGCTGTGCTGTTAGGAGGGCTTTACTTGTGTGTGCATCCACGGCTAGCTGGCTAGCTAGCTAGCTAGCTAGCCATGGAGGGGACATTTTGCCTAGGGTTTAGGGTTTAGGGTTTAGTTTGCAATTATCGAGTTGGTGTGCGAGTTGCTGCTGCTGCTGCAGGTAGGGCCGCCGGCAGTGGTTTGGCTGCTGCTGCAGGTTCAGCAGGAAGAGTTGCAGCATCAGGAGCAGCAGGAGCAGCAGCAGGAGCAGCAGGAGGAGCAGCAGCAGCAGCAGAAGAAGCAGTTGATCCCTTCCTTCTTCGGGTGTATATGGAGCTCCCTGTCGGGGCTCGGTACGGCCAGAGCGGCAGCAAGATGGAACAGTTTTCTGTCTTTTGTTTCTCCTCTGACCCGCTGCTGCAGTGGCTGGCTGTTGCTTCTAGAAAGGGTTTGGTAGGGCTCCTCTTTCTTATCTAACTGTCTCCTTTATTGTCTCTTTTGCTGTCTCCTTTATTGTCTCCTTTGCTGTCTCCTTCTGCCTCCTTTACTGTCTCATTTATTGTCTCTTCTGCTGTCTCCTTTATTGTCTCCTTCTGTCTCCTTTGGCGTCTCCTTTACTGTCTCTTCTGCTGTCCCCTTTGTTGTCTCCTCCTGCCTCCTCTAGTGTCTCCTTTACTGTCTCTTCTGCTGTCTCCTTTATTGTCTCCTCCTGTCTCTTTTAGTGTCTTCTTTACTGTCTCCTTTTGTTTCCTTTATTGTCTTTCTTTGTTTCTGTTGGTCTCGTTTGTAGCTAGCTAGCTATCTATCTAGCTAGCTAGCTAGCTATCTATCTAGCTAGCTAGCTCGCTAGTTAGCTGATATTTAAGTGATGCATGTGGGGTGGTTTGCATGCGTTGTGATGCTGCTGCAGACAGAAAAAGTTTTATATTTTGTTCACGTCAGGGCAGCAGCGCAGCGAGGCGTTGGATTTAAAGATTTGCGCATGGAGACAGCCTTCTTGCCTATGGTCTTGCAGGTTTGTCTCTTCTTTATTTTTGTTTATTTCTGTCTCTTCTTTATTTTTGTCTATTGCTGTCTCTTCTCTATTTTTGTTTATTGCTGTCTCTTCTTTGTTTTTGTTTATTGCTGTCTCTTCTTCGTTGGTTTATTTTTGTCTCTTTGCAGTCCCTGTTTATTGCTGTCTCTTCTTTATTTTTGTTTATTGCTGTCTCTTCTTCTTTTGTTTATTGCTGTCTCTTCTTTTGCTTTTGTTTATTGCTGTCTGTTCTTCTTTTGTTTAGTTTTGTCTCTTCTCAGTCTTTGTTTATTTCTGCTGCGTTTTGTCTCTTCTTCGTTTGTTTATATCTATGACTCTTTTGTCTCTTTTTGTTTATTTCTCTCTCTTCTTCTCTACACTGCCTGTCTCCTCTGCTCTTGTGCTCTGTTGGGTGTCTCCTTTGCCTTCTGCTGGTTTTCCCTGTTGTCTCCTTTTGTCTCCTTTATTGTCTCCCTTACCGTCTCCTTTACTGTCTCCTTTACTGTCTTTTTTTATCTTCTTTAATGTCTCCTTTACTGTCGCCTTTACTGTCTCCTTTATTGTCTCCTTTATTGTCTTCTTTATTGTCTCCTTTACTGTCTCTTTTTGTCTCCTTTTATCCTCTTTATTTTCTCTTCAATTATCTGTTTTTTGTCTCCTCTATTGTCTCTTTTATTTTGTCCTTTTGTCCCCTTTATTGTCTCCTTTTGTGTCCTTTTATTTTCTTTTGTCTCCTTTATCTGGTACTGCCCATTGCTGCTGCTTCAACTGTTGCTGCTGCTGCTGCTGCTGCTGTTGCTGCTGTTTGTGCTGACAGATGCAATGGGTGCCGCAGTCTGTCTCCTCTCTGCTGCTGCTGCCTGTACACCGTCGTTTCTTGGGTTTGCTGCAGCACTCTTATTCTGCTGTCTCTGAATTATCTTTTGTTCAACCATATATTCATTTCCCTCCATCACGCAGCAACAGACAAGACCTAGAAACAGCCTGGGACTTCGATCTAGGCAGCAGCAGCAGCAGCAGCAGCAGCAGCAGCAGTGGGGAGGAAGAAGAGGAAGAGGGCGCGGTTTGTTCTGGGGGGAAGAGAAGGAGCAACAAGAGAGACAGAAAGGAGACAGATAAAATATGTCTCTATTTACATAATCATTTGCTAGTCAAGACGCAGCAACAGTCAATTCAACAATTAAGAATATTGCAGAGGGCCCCCCAAACCGCTTGGCTGTCTCCTGAGGAAGCAGCAAAATATAAACCAGGTGCTTCTTCTTTTTATTTAATTTCCTGTCTCTTTGTTCTTCTTTATTATTCTTCTTGTCTCCTTCTTCTTGTTTATATCTGTCTCTCTTTGTCTCTTTCTTCTCTCCCTTTTATTGCATGCATTTATATATAACAAATACATTCAAAGGGTGTATTTATTTATTAAGTGAAGCAGCAGATTATTAATTGTCTCCTTTTTGTCTCCTCGCTGTCTCCTTTTGCATTTCTTTTCAGTCTTTGTCTCCTTCTTTCTGCTGTCTCCTTTCTTCTTTCTTCGTGTTTGTCTTTTTGTTGCCGCCCCCTTCTCCTGGTTTATTAATTTATTAATTTATTTATTCATACGCTTTCTTCATTGCAGTTGTTGTTTTTGTTATTTGTTTGTGTGTATATACAGCTTCATCTCTTTTATCTTTTGATTCTTTTGCTGCTTCTTTTGGAGGTCGTACCCCTGGAAATAAGCAAAGAGACAATATGCTGTCTCTTTTATATTCGTCTTATCTACGAGGAGACACCTCATCTCTGTCTCCTTCTGCTTTCTCTTCACATCTTCTTCTCTTATCTAACGATCTCTGTCAGCCTGTTTACTTCTTTAACGGCAAACCGGGGCCTTCAGCTTTCTCTACTTCTTTTGGGGGGCCCTTCAAGGGGACCCCCCTCCAGGGGCCCCCCTTGAAGCCTTCTTGGGGGTCTCCATCATTATGGGGGCCCCTTGGGGGCCCCCATGGAGGGCCCACTTCCCCCTTGGGGCGGGGGCCCCCTGGGGGGCCCCCCAACTCAGTACCCTTTGGGGGCCCCCATGAAGGGCCCCCTTCAGCCTTAGGGGGCTTTATAAAGGGAGTGGGGGGCCCCGCGAGCCTCTGGCATGAGACGTATAAATCCTCTATCATGAGTGTGGGGCAGCAAATGGGTATTTGGGGCTTTATAGACACTTGCATGCAAATGCATGCAGCAGCAAATGCATGGAAACCCACATACAGCCCCACCCAAACAGGAGGGGCCCCCAAGGGGGGCCCCCAACACCCCATGGGGGGGCCCCAGGGCCCCTGTAGGGAAGACAAGCCGTCTATAGGGCTTGTAGAACGTCTACGCCACCTTATTGAGGTATACGAAGGAGATTCAGAGGGAGAAATGATTGAAGAAGAGGGATTAAACAATAAAGAAGATAACAATAAAGAAGATAAAAACTCTTTAGACCCATGCGAAGGGAGACACAGTAGAAAGACCCAGCAGACATCAAGAAAACGTGCGAGGAGCAATGCAAAAGGCTCTGCAACAGCAGCAGAAGCTGCAGCAGCAGCAGCAGCAGGATCTGCAGCAGCAGCAGAAGCTGCAGCAGCAGCAGGTGGCATAATAACAACAACCCCACCGCCATGCAGGCTGCAAGAGGCGCTGCATACTCTGAGGGAGAGGCGGCGCATGCAGCTGCTGCCTCCTCCTCTTAGGCGCAGCCGCTTCGAGCTGCCTCCTTTATTTAGTTTTAATGAAATGATAAAAATGAAAATGAAGGAGAACCAACAAAGTGCTGAGGTGGACAGACACCCCGATGAGGAGTGGTGGGATCGACTCCGCGGCGTCGTCGCCTCCAGGGAAAAACAAACCCCACAAACCAACTCCGGGATCGGGAGCGGGATCGAGATCGGGATCGGATCCTGCGACGATCTCGTTGAGGCCCGACTCCTGTGGGGTGATCCCCTTGTGCAGGCGGGAAGAAAATATAAAAACAATTGGCAGCTACCGCTCTTATGGCCCTCTTCAAATGAGTAGCAGACGCAGGAGGCTTATTGCTGTCTCAGCAGCAAACCCTAAACCCTAAACCCTAAACCCTGAGCAGCAAACCCTCATTCAGTGTTCTCTAAACTAAACTCTCAAGGTGAAGTCTTCATTTTTAATTTGTCGTTGGCTGGATGCATTTCCTTCTCCTCCATGTCAAACCTCATAAATTAGGGTTTAATTAGGGTTTAGGGTTTACGTAGGATTTAAACCTTAGATAGGGCTAGGTAGGGTTTAGGCAGAGCTTAGGGTTGAGTTGGCATCTATAGGATCTCAACAAGCCCCAAACCCTCAGCACCTAAATACGAAGCATCAGCCTTTTCTCTTGTGCATGCATGCATGCATGCATATTGCATGCATGCATGCAATATGCATGCATGCATATTTGGGGCTGGGAGTGTGGGTTATTCAGATGCAAAGAAGCAACGAAGATGAGAGGCGTAGCTGCAGCATTATTTGTATTTCTTTAGTTGCATTTGTTCTCTTCATGGGCTTAGGACGCCCCACAAATAAATAAATAAATTAATAAATTAGCAAAACCCTCAAACAAACACCAGGCCTCGCCCCTGTTGTGCAAGCTGCATGCATGCATGCAAGTCGGCTAAATAAAATTTCCCAAACTGCATTTCAGCGCATGCAGTTCATGCATGCATGCATGCATGCATTGTACTCCTGCATGCGTGCATGAATGCATGCATACATATATGCAATATCCTGCTGCATGCATGCATGCATGCATGCATGTATTCTAACCCTGCATGGATGGATGCATGCATTGTACTAGTGCATGCATGCATCCTTGCGTGGGTGCATGCATCCTAATCCTGATTGGGTGCACGCAATCTACTCCTCAGCGCATGCATGCATGCATTGTACTCCTGCATGCATGCATTTATTAATAGATGCATCCATGCATGCATGCATTGTACACACCTGCATGCAGGGATTCTATTCCTGTATGCATGCCTTCTACTCCTGCATGCATGCATGCATGCATTGTACTCCAACATGCATGCATGCATGGCACACCTGCATGCATGCACTGCATTCCTGCATGCATGCATGCATGCATGCACCCATGCATTATACTCCTGCATGCATGCATGCATGCATGCATGCAGGAGTGTAATGAGTAGCTAGAAAGGGATATTTCTGAATGTGGGTATTCCTCTCATTCTCGCCCAGTTGAGTCTTCTGAGGGCTCTGATTTGCAGCGAAGCCCACTCTACAGTTAGTCGTTTTAATCTGCTAACTGAGACTTTTAAGGGCTTGCCGCGGCGCAGCTGTACATCTTCTTCACCTATTACAAACAAAAGGAGCAGCAGCAACAGCAACACCAAGGGATATACAGCAACCGCAGCAGCAGCAGCAGCCAAAGCAGCAGCAGAAGCAGCAGAAGCAGCAAGAGCAGCAGCAGCAGCAGAAGCAGCAAGAGCAGCAGCAGCAGCAGCAGCAGCAGCAGGAGTTACGGTGTGCATGCATACCATATTCATCTAAATGAACGCAGCCCCATTTGGCTGCTTTGTCTGCAATGGTGTCGGTAAGGAGAATTAAGACAGAAGAAGTCGGCAGTTGTAAGAAAATACACAGACCAAACCCGCATATTGTTGCATGCTGCAGCAAACAAAGCAGCAGCAGCACAGGCAGCAGTAGTAAAGGCAGCAGCAGCAAAGGCAGCAGCAGCAGAAGCAGCAGCACCGGAAGCAGCACACACGCAGTCGCGATAACGCCAGCAGCAACAGCAACAACAGGAAAAGCAAAAAGAGCAGCAGCAGCAGCAGCAGTAGCAGCACATGCAGCAGCAGCAGCAAAAGCAGCAAAAGCTACAAAAGCAGCTACAACAACAGCACCCACAGAAATATCTGCATCATCAGCGCAATCAGCAGCAGCAGCAACATCAGCAACATCCGCAGCAACAGCATGAACAGCAACAACACCATCAGCAGCATCTTCAGCAGCAACAGCAACATCAGCAGCAGCAGCAACAACAGCAGCAGCAGTTTACCCTTCTGAGAGCAGAGAAAGGAGTCATATCTTTTTCTAAACAGCTGACGTCAACTTCGCAGCAATCAGCGCCGCAGAGCAAAGCCCCGCAAATTAGACAAATGCATGCAGCAGCAGATACATGCGCCAGCCCCAGAGGTGCCTTCATGCTGCAGATAAACAAATAAAATAAATAAATTAAATAAATAAATATAAATTAAATAAATAAAACAATTAAATAAATGCAAAGGGTATATTAAAACAATAACAGAAGCATCAAACAATTCACCCAAAGATAAACAAACAGAATTCGCATGCAATCCACAGCCTATATATTTATAATATATTATAATATATATATTATATATATTATATATATATTATATGCGCTACAACTACAAGCAAGCGGTAACAACAACATCAGCAGCAAAGCAGCAGCAGCCGAAGCAAGAGCAGCAGCAACAGCAGCAGCAACAGCAGCAGCAGAGTACAAGTAGACTGACTGCACATCAAGGAAGTGGTTGTAGAGTTGCTGATATGATTTAGGAAGGACAGTCAGAGAAGGATAATACAACAAGGCAAACACAGCCAAACTGCTGCTGCTGCTGCTGCTGCTGCTGCTGCTGCGTTGCCAGAGGAGAACGGGTTTTGCTGCTGTGATTTGCAGCAGCTGCAAGAAATCTGCAGGGAGAAGACGGCGCGCCAGAGGCTGAAAGTACAGCGAGTGAGCACGGAAGAGGCTCAGCTGCTGCTGCTGCTGCTGTTGCTGCTGCTGCTGCTGCTGCTGCTGCAGCTGGTCCAGCAGCTGCAGCAGCTGCAAATGAACCCCCTTCTCGCACACCACCACTGGGGAGACGCACGTCAAACTTGTCAGAGAAGGAGGCATCGCAGCCAGTGCATGCACCATCTGCAGCAACAGCAACAGCAGCAACAGCACCAGCAGCTTATGTGCATATAGATAATATATACAGACGCATATATATATATATATTCATATATATATATATATATATATATATATTCATATATATATACATTATGAATAAAAGACTTCCTTGTGTGTACGCACAAATATATTTACTACAAAATTGCAAAATAAAAAGTGTATGCATGTATATATATACATTTCTATACATGTATGTATATATATAAATATATAAATATATATATATATATATATACATATATATATATATATGTATAGAAATAAGGGTTTAGGGTTTGGAAAGGGTTTAGGGTTTAGGGTTTAGGGTTTGGCTTGCCTGGAGCTCATTGAGGACAAATGCAAATGCCTCTGTTTCCTCGTCTTCTCTTTCTTCATCTCCCTCTGCATCATCTTCCTATAGAAGCAGCAGCAGCAGCAGCAGCAGCAGCAGCAGCAGCAGACACAGCAGTAATGCCTCGCCACAGCAGCAGATCAAGCTGCTAATGAAACCAAAGCAGCAACAGCAACAAACACACCCAGAGCAGCAGCACCAAGAAGAGCAGCAGCAGCAGCAGCAGCAAACTCAGCCTCAGCAGCAGCAACACCACCACCAAGAACACGAGCAACAGCAGCAGCAGCATCAGGAGCAGCTACATCAGCAGCGCCAGCAACATTAGCAGCAACAGCAGCAGCAATAGCAACAGCATCAGCAGCATCAACAGTAGCAACATCAACAACATAAACATCATCATCATCACCATCATCATCATCATCATCATCATCATCATCAGCAGCAGCAGCAGCAGCTCACATCTCCAAATAGAAAGCCTTCTAAAGACTGAGGAAGTGGGAGGCCCTCTAAAAGGGTATCGCATTCAGAATCAGGGGAATAAGGGTTTAAAGAACTCAACACTTCATCAAGACCTCCTGCTGCTGCTGCTGCTGCTGCTGCTGCTGCTGGTGCTGGTGCTGCTGGTGCTGCTGCTGAGAGGAAAGAAGAAAACAGCTGAGGAGCAGACAAATCCCCAAAGCCACTCACAGACTCCGCCTCATCAAATGGAAGCTTGCTGCAGCACAAACAAAAACAAAAAAATAACAACGCTGCTGCTGCTGATGCTGCTGCTGATGCTGCTGCTGCTGCTGTTGTTGCTGCTGCTTGTGTTGTTGCTGCTGCTGCTGAAGATGATGATGTTCGTAATCTTAAATTGTTCTATTCTAATTTCAGTGTTTGTTAGCAGTACATCATAATATAAAATATATACATATACATGTATATATATATATACAATATTATATATATACTTATTTATATTTATATTTATATAAAAAGATATGTTCTATGGATGCGTCTGTTAAGATGCATGCATAAAGAAAATATACTTGAAACTCAACAGAGTAATTATGTATATACACTGAATGTATGAAGAGACAAATATATATACATGCGTATAACATATAACGTATATAATAATAAATATATAATACTAAATAATATTTGCATTTATTGATATACACCATATATATAAATATATATGCGTATATACATATATAAATAAATAAATAAATATATATATATATATATACCCATGCATATATATGTACATATATATGAATATATATGCACAGAAATAAATAAATATATATATATATATATTTACATACTTATAAATATAAATATAAATATAAATATACATATAAATATATAAATATATATATATATATAAACTCACTGATGAGGGTTTAGCGCTTTAATAATCAAATGTAATTTTCTTAGCCAAGGAAGAAGACCCAAAGAAACGACTTTAAGCAGCACTCCCCTTCGTTCTTCTTCACTCAGCACGCCTTCTGCTGCTGCTGCTGCTGGTGCTGGTGCTGCTGCTGCAGATGCATCTTCGTTGTCTGCTGCTGTGCCTTGCAGGAAAGGATACGGAGGTGCAACTGCATCCAAGTTAGCTGCAGATACACCTGAGAGAAGCTGCGTAGACACCCCAACTCCTCGCCGCCTATTCGCTGGCCTTCCAGATATACTGGGGTCATCGTGCTGCTGCTGCAGTTGCTGCTGCTGCTGCTGCTGCGCTTCTGATACACGACCCAAGTACGTAGCCACCTGTCGCTCTGGAATGGTGCTGCTGCTGCTTCTGCTGTTTCTGCTTCTGCTGCTGCTGCAACTACTAGAGCTGCTACTGCTACTGCTGCTGTGTGGGGGTGAGTCGCTGTTGCTGCCGCTGCCGCTGCTGCTTCTGCTCCTGCTGCTGCTGCTGCTCATGCAGCAGCCGCCGCAGCTCGTGCAGCGTCCTGTGCTGCTATCAGGTGTACATTGTCTAACATGCAGACAATCTACACCCAAGTGCAGCAAAGAAGGGGGATAAGGCATGCGCCTTCCTAATAAACGGGTATCTTCTGCTGTGTGGGGTTGCTGCTGCTGCTGCTGCTGCTGCTGTCGCCTATAACCTATAGCAGCCAGCACACGGCTGTCTCCTTCTACTGGTAGTCTCTCCATATCTACATTGTGCATTAAACCTCGCATGCGGCAGAATGAGTGCAAGTACTCCTCCCTCCCTGCTGCTGCTGCTGCTGCTGCTGCTGCTGCTGCTGTTCCCCTTCCTGCTGCTGCTGCTGCTGCTGCTGTTGCTGCTGCTGCAGGTGTGGGGCCAGGAGGCTCCGTCTGCGCCCCGCCGTCGCTAGCGAAGCTATCACTCCTTCGTTCAGCTACTCGCTGCCGCTGCTGCTGCTGCTGATGCTGGGGGCTGTGAGGTTCTTCAGCAGCAGAATCGTATGTCCACTGGCTCGTGCTGCTGCTCCTGCTGCGGATCTGTTGGTCCGTTGCGCGTCGCTGCCGTCGCTGCTGCTGCTGCTGCTGCTGCTGCTGCTGCTGCTGCTGAAGTGCTGCTGAAGAAGGCACTTCTCCCCTGTCTTGGCTTCTGCTGCTGCTGCTTGCTGCTTCACTTTCTGCTGCTGCTGCTCTCGCTGCTGCATAGGTGGCTTCCGTGATTTGGGCTCTTGCTGCTGCTACCTCCGGGTCGGGTGCAGCTGTTGTTGCTGCTGCTGTTGCTGCATCGACCGCAGCAGCAGCAGCAGCAGCAGGAGCACCTGTGCTGCGCGCATCTGCAAGGAGTTGTTCTCTCGCCAGCCTCTGCCGTTTTGCTTCAAGACGGTGGCAGCTTGAATCCATTTGCTGCCGCTGTTTGCTGCTGCTGCGCTGCAGCTGCCCTTCGTCTGCTGCAGCAGCAGCAAGGCGTTGTTGCTCGATTGTAGCTAAGTGAGACAAGAACTGCCACAGTGCTTCGTGGGGCTTCTGTGGGGTCGCATGCTGCTGCTGCTGCTGCTGCTGCTGTGGGGTTGCTGCCAGCAGGCGGTGTCTGTCGCTGATCGGGAGACGATCCCACCACTGCCACAAAATAGAAAATACTTCTAGTAAGAAGAAGAGCTGCATATACACCCGAACAGCAGCACGGGTATCTGCTGCTGTCTGTACAGGGTGCAGCAACTGGTTCTCAGTATGCTGCTGCTCTTCGTGCTGCTGCGTCATCAGCAGCTGCTGCTGCTGCCGAGCGATTTGCTGCCGCATCTGCTGCTGATGCTGCTGGTGTCTCCCCAGCTGCTGCTGCCGCTGCTCCCGCTGCATTTCAAAGAGTAGACGAAGCTGCGCTTGTGGTGCTTCCTGTCTCCTGCCGCTGCTGCTGCTGCTGCTGCTGTTGGCAGTTGCTGTTGCGCCTACCGCCGCGGTGGCAGCTGCATGCTCTGCAGCAGCTGCTGCTCGTGCTGCTGCTGCTGTTGCTGTTGCTGCTGTTGCTACTGCTGCTATTGTTGCTGCGGTTGCTGCATCAACGGCTGCGTCGCCCCCAGCAGTGCGTGGCTGCTCCCTTTCTCCCTGCTGCTGCTGCGGTTGCTGCTGCAGCTGCAGCTGTTGCTGTAGCTGCTGCTGCAGCTGTTGCTGCTGCTGTGTTTCCTCTGGGCCCATACGATTGCCTCTTAGTGCTGCTGCGGCACCCGCAGCAACAGCAGCAACAGCAGCAGCAGCTTGCTGCTGGCGGCGATGCATGCGCTGCTGGTAGCGGATGAGCTGTAGGTGCTCTTGCTCCATTTGCTGCTGCTGCGTCTGCAGCAGAATGAGGTACTGGGGCGGCTGCTGCGGCTGCTGCTGCTGGCGCTGCTGCTGCTGCTGCTGCTGCTGCTGCTGTTGGAGTTGATGCTTGTTTGCGTGTTCCTGCAGTTTGCTGCGGCGTGCTGCTGCTGCAGCAACAGCTGCACGCATTTCTTGCTGTATTTGCTTGTCCCCGTCTATTGCTTCTTGATATGCTAAATCTGCATGCAGCCCCAGCAGCGCTCTAACTAAAAGAAATAGGCGAGAAGAAGGCTGCCGCAGTGCTGCTGCTAACGTTGGGTCTACGCTGCAGCAGCGGGAAGGCAGCAGCAAACGCCCCGCTGCTGCTGCAGCTGCTGCTCCTTCTCCTTCTGCCCCTGGTCCTGCTGCTGCTGCTGCTGCTGCAACAGCAGCACTTGCTGCTGCTAGATGATCATTTAAAACGAAGGGATTGCGTGCAGCTTCCTCCGTCCCGCTGCTGTTGCTGTTCCTGCTGCTGCTGCTGCTACTGCTGCTCCTGCTGCGGCTGCCGAAGGGGCTGCAAAGCAGCGGGGTCCCCAGCAGCAGCAGTTGCTCTAAGTCTAGTTTATATAAATCTAAAACACTTATACCGCTATCGTCCACTGGGATCTGCCTCAGCATATCGCTCAGGTGTATATACACCGCATGCAGTGCATGCAAAGCTTCAGGCCGCCATGAAGACCCAGAGACTCCCTGCTGCCGCAACGATAGCTGAAAGCAGCAGCAGCAGCAGCAGCAACAGCACCAACACAAGCAGCAGCAGCATAAGCAACAGCAACAGCAGCAACACAAGCAGCAGAAGCAGCAGAAGATTATTATCATTATTATTATTGCGGCAATGACACTCGCACTGCATGCACTTGAAGAAGGGGAGAGCTGCCGTCAATGCAGCAGCTGCTGCTGCAGCAACAGCAACAGCAGCAGCAACATCAGCAGCAGCAGCAACAACATCACGCCAACGCCAGCAACGCAGAACCAACACGGGCACCAAAGCAACAAGAACAACAGCAGCAACCGCAACACCAGCAGCAGCAACCGCAACACCAGCAGCAGCAACAGCAACAGCAACAGCAGCAACAGCAACAGCAGCAGCAACAGCAGCACGAACCTCAGCAGACTCGACTGTATCCGCAAAGACTTTTGCAAGAACAGCAAGCGGATGGCCGATAACCCAACGGCGCGAGATATTCCACTTCTTAGGAAGCTGCAGCTGCTCTCCTGTTGCTGCTGCTGCTGCTGCTGCCGCTGCTGCTGCTGCTGCTGCGCGGTGGGAGAGACTGCGGAATTCATACTCATCAGGCGGCAGCAGCATCTCAGCAAACCGCTGCTGCTGCAGATAAGATAGCTGCTGATGCTGCAGCATGCTGGCTGCAGTATAAGCAAACGGTCGTCCCCGCTGCTGCTGCTGCTGCTGCTGCTGTGGGGCAACGGTGGCTTCTGCTGCTGCAGCAGTAGGCGAGCTAGCGTCTGCTGCTGCAGGCTGCTGCTCGGTGTTGGAGCTGCTGCTATCGGTGGTGTGGCTGTTAGGTTGCGCGGGCTGTTGTTGAGTCGGTGGTTGTGCTGCTGCAGCAGCTGCTGTTGCTGCTGCAACTGCTGCTGCTGCTGCTTCCCCTGCTGCTGCAGTGGCAGCCATGACTGCTGCTTCGGGCCGCAGCAGCAGCGGAGCTGGGAAGCAAACAGGAGACAGCCGCGTCGCTAGCTTGCATATATTCAGCAGCTCGTTAACAGCAGCAGCAGCAGGCAGAGGGCAAGCAGCAAAGTGAAGCTGCAGCGGCAGCCCCAACTCCTGCTGCAGATACTGCCGCCGCTGCTGCTGCAGCAGCAAACGCGACAGCAGCTGCTGCTTCAAATCCACCCACTTGCACCCTCCTCCGCCTTCTGCTGCTGCTGCTGCTGCTGCTGAGGTGTCCCCAAGCAGCGACGGCGCACCGCGGAGCCCCCAAGCTCCGGGTTGAACGTCGTCTAGATGTGCAGCAGCAGCAGCAGCAGCAGCAGCAGGTGCTGCTGCAGCAGCGGCAGGTGCAGCAGGAAGGGCTCTTGCATGTTGAATGGCACGCTTGAGTTGAATAAGAGCGAGAGAGCTCGGCAGCGAGTCTAGCAGCAGAAGATTAGCAGGCTGGCAGCAATAAGGACAGAGCAGCGGCTGCTCAGCAGCAGCAGCAGCAGCAGCAGCAGCTCTTCCTTGTGTATTCATATACTGCATATAGCACCGCAAATGCATGCGATGCCCGCAGCTCTTCAATGGTAGCCCCTGACTGCTGCAGAAAGGAGACAGAGCAACTGGAACCTTCTCCCCTGTCACTGCCCCTAGCCACTCCAGCACCCTGCTGCTGCTGCTGCTGCTGCTGCTACTGCTGCTGCTGCTGGGGACAGTCCAGGGAGCAGGCAGCAGAAACGGCGGCAGTGTCGCGCGAGGAGCTGCGCATACACCTGAAAGCTGAAAGTGACAGAGAAGCCCCACAGGGTTGAGATCCTCAGACATGGTTGAGATCCTCAGACATGTAGCTGTCTGTACACCGTGCTGCAGCAGCAGCAACAGCAGCAGCAGCAGCTGATGCTGCTGTTGCTGTTGCTGCCGCAGCAGAGCTGCTGCTGCTGTCCTTCGCCACTCCACCTGCCGTACCCTCACCCCCATCCTCCCCTATTCCCATATCTGCTGCTTCAGCAGCAGCAACAGCAGCAGCAGGATCTGCTGCTGCTGCTGCTGCTTCTGGGGGCTGCAGCATAGTGGGTGGCAGCAGGGCTTCATCTTCTAATCTACAAGAGACACATTTGGGTATATCGGAGTCTGCTAGCTGCGTGGCTTCCCTCAATTCGCTGCGGTGTCTGCGCTCAAATGTCTCCTGTCTCCTTTTAAATGCATTTAATACTGCAAGCTGGCGACGCCGCACTTCCTGTACAGACACAAACAATCGTCAGGTGTATGCGCAGCTCAGCTCTATATATATATATATATATATATATATATATGTATATATATACATATTATGTATATATGCATGCAGCAGTGTGT